GGATGTGGTGGTGCACACCTGTGGTCCCAGCTACTCAGGAGGCTGGGGCAGGAGGATAGCTTGACCCCAGTAGGTCGAGGCTGCAGTGAGCCGTAATTGTGCCACTGCGTTCCAGCCTGGCTGACAGAGCAAGACTCTTGTCTTAAAAAATAAATACAATAAAATAAATAGCAGGGAGACAGTAGGACAGGGATGGGGAGTAGTAGGAGACAGAGACTGCTGCAGAGAGGGACATTCAGCAAACAGTTACAACCCGTTCTGGGCTTGTGATGCTGGGGACCCAGTGATAAGTCAGACCAGGCCTGTTGCCTTGGTCTTGTGGGGAAGGAACCTGGACACAGACGGTCACAGCTGGGGGCTCAGGGATGGGACAGCAGGAGCAGGGGCTGTGAGAGGCTGTCTTAGTTTGCTAGGGCTTCCACAGCAAAGTACCACAGACTAGGTGACTGAAATAAGAGAAATTCATTCTCACAATTATGGAGGCTGTAAGTTAGAGAAGAGGAGAGGATGTCAGCAGGGTTGGCCTCTTCCAAGGCCTCTCTTCTTGGCTTGTGGTCAGCTGGTCTTCTCCTGGGTCTTCATGTGGTCTTCCCTCTGTTCCCATCTGTGACCTAATTCCCTCTTCTTCTTCTTCTTCTTTTTTCTATTCTTTTTTTTTTTTTTTTTGAGACGGAGTCTTGCTTTGCCACTCAGGCTGTAGTGCAGTGGTGCGATCTCGGCTAACTGCCACCTGCCACCTCCGCCTCCCGGGCTCAAGCGATTCTCCTACCTCAGCCTCCTGAGTAGCTGGGATTACAGGTGCACACTACCACACCCGGCTAATTTTCGTATTTTTAGTAGAGATAGGATTTCACCATGTTGGTCAGGCTGGTCTCGAACTCCTGAACTGGTGATCTGCCCACCTCGGCCTCCCAAAGTGCTGGGATTACAAGCATGAGCCACTGTTCCCGGCCCCCTCTTCTTAAAAGGATGCCAGTCAGATTTCAGTGAGTCCACCCTAATGACCTTATTTTACCTTAATTATGTCTTTAAAGACCCTATCTCCAAATACAATTACTTTCTGAGGTACCAGGAATTAGGACTTCAGTGTATGAATTTTGGGAGACGCAACTCAGCCCATAGCAGAGGCTAAGGACGAGTGTGGACTTGCTGGGCTGGCAGTGGGATCTGAGCCTGGCCTAATCTGTGGGTGGGAGAGGGATGCCCAGCTAGCTGGGAGTGTGGAACCTGCACAGTCTGCTGTCTGTCAAGCAGAACCCCCAAGCAGGGGAGATGCTCAACGTGGTTGAAGAGCACAGTGCATGAGCTGCAAGAGAAAAGCAGTACAGGGTGGTGGGCCAACCCCTGGAGGCCAGGCCCATCAGCCTGGTTGTTTCTCCAGGAGATAGGGAGGAGCCAGGAAAGGATTGCCCTGAGGCAATGTGGAGCTCCGCCTGAGGGAAGGCGGCCAGAGGAGGCTGGGGCTGCAGTTTTAGGAATGCTAGCAGGGGTGGGATTTAGGACCAGGTTAGAGTTAGTGGTTGTCTGAAGTAGGGCTAAGGTCTGGGTGAATTAGAGCTAGGATCAGGCAGGATTCCCTCCTTTACTGCTCCAGAGTCAGGATACATTTGCCGCCCAGCTCCCTTCTTGTCCTTCTTATATCTTGTATCAGTAGCCATTTAATGCCCTGTCCCCAGGGCCAGGAAACAGGACCTGAGCTCTGGTAGCATCCTGGGCACCCACTCCCCACCCCCACCCTCAGCAGTCTGCATCTATTTTTTTTTTTTTTTTTTTTGAGACAGAGTCTCGCTCTGTTATCCAAGCTGGAGTGCAGTGGTGCAATCACGGCTCCCTGTAGCCTCAACATCCTGGGCTCAAGCGATCTTCCCATCTTAGCCTACTGAGTAGCTGGGACTGCAGGTGCCCACCACCATCATGCCCGGCTAACTTTTTTATTTTTTGGAGAGACGGGGATTTCACTATGTTGCCCAGGCTGGTCTCAGACTCCTGGCCTCAAGTTATCTACTTGCCTTGGTGCAGTGTGCATTTAATGGGACTGTGTGCTGGCTTTTTTGCTTTTTAGCTTTTTAGCTTTTAAATGTTTTCTTGCTGTTAAAACATAATGTATATAGAGTAAAGTGTTCAAATTTTAAGTGTACAGCTTGATGAATTTTTGCATATGTAAGGACCCTGTAACCACCAAACAAGATCCTTTCTCACCTGCTGCAGGCTCATGCCCTTTCCCAGTCAGTACCCCCAAGGTGCTCACTCATCTGACCGTGATCATCTGCTATCAGCTTGCCTGTTTTTGAATTTCCTGTAATTGGAATCATAAATTACGTCTGCCTTTGTGTTTGGCATCTTTCATTCAGCCTCATGTCTCCAAGCTTCGGCCATGTGTATGAAGCAGGAGTTTGTTCTTTTTCATTACTGTGGCGTATTTCATTGTATGGACATACCACATTTTGTTTATCCATTCACCTGTTGATGGCCCCTTGGGCTGTTTCCAGTTTGGGGCTGTTATGAAAAGACAGCAGAAGCATTTCTGCCTATGTCCTTTGATGGACAGGACACGTGTTT